TGTTTTCATAACTCTCAGAGAATAAATGTTGTTACTTAGATAATTTTGAGCAAAAAGACTTTATGATGTCATTTAAACAAATAGCCTAAATATTTATGTTTCTATTGTAATCGAAACTATATAAAATACATGCACATGTTAACAAAGATTGGAGGGAAAGATCTGCAAAACTGAAAATGGTTTAAGCAGGGGAAGACAATAGATGACTTTTTTTCGTTTTAAATATGTTCAGAATAAGTACATAAATACAAGCATCAATTAAGAAAATTTAATATAACAATTTTATGCAAAATTGAGTCCATCTACTCATCAGAATAGTCAAATAATTAACACATTATTTATAAGGCTTGTCAGCCTCCCTACTGATGGAGAGTAGTTTATGGACATGAATATAAATTAGAGTATTATAAATTTACTTAAAATGATTTCAAAATATGCAATAGGCTACTAGGTAGAGGCATGGGAGGAATGCACATAGTCAGAGGGCAAGTTCAAATCAGGATCTAAACAGAGAAATTGTCTAACAGTTGTTCAAGTGGCAACGTCTGCGAGTGGTGATTCATGAATGGTATACACAGAAATCAGTGCTGGTAATAGATAGCTAAAATGTGCTGTTCACATCAAACAGTGATTAGTACAAACCTCTAATTATGTGCTCTAGAGAGAGCCTTGTGACTTTCCCACTGTAATTTCTAGTTCTTAAACTGGAACTCTATGACTTCAATTCAAATCTCAATGGCTTCTTAGCTGTTAAATGTAGGCTTACCCATGAATAACCGCTGATACAATCTGCTGTACCCTGCTGTACACAAGCAGATTTTGACAAGAATAATGAGTTTTCTCTTTGATTTCAATGTGTAATGATGGTTTGCAAAAAAATGACTGGCAGTTGGCTATGAAAATACTCGAGAGGATACTCTTGACTGAGCCAAAGAGCTTAACACAAATTTAAACAATATTCATGCCCCAGAAAACAGTCATTAACCTCATCCTAATTTTATCACAATTCACACTTTAGCTAAATACCTGGGCAGTTGTTTTGTGTTGAGTTTGAGAGCAAAAGAGAGGGAAAGGGTAACCCTGGAAAGGAAGGAGGGGCTGCTAAGGAAATGTGAGTCCTGCAAAGTTTGCAGAGTAAAGAGCCTCTTCAACCATATTTATTAACTCAGCAACTTAGGGCTTTTGTTCTGTTAAGTAGCCAAGCTACTCATGGAGGATATCCACCTTTTGCGGCACTCAAGTCATACACTCTGATCTACAAAATCATACCTGAACCTTGTATGATCGCACCTTTGCCAGTGTAGTGCAGAATATGAAAATGCCATTCATGGCTCAGCCCACTTGGCCTACCATGGCACTGGTAATAGACTAAGCATTCAATGAAAGGAGCTACATTGTACAGAGAGAACAGCTGTGGCCAAATAATATTAGTCAAAGTGAGGGAATTAAAGTGCTCCTTTCCCATGTGACAGAATAGAAGCAGGGGCATATAACTCAATACTATTAATTGTTTTGAAAATGAGTTCTACAGAAGTGTTCAGATGAAGGCCGTGTTTTACATCAAACAAGGGGCTCATATGCCAATCGTTTCTTGAACAAAGGACTGAAGAGCAAATCATCAGAAAGATGAACATTCTGGCATGCTTACTGGTATATCCCAGTCCCCATGATGAATTTTCTTTCCACCTACATGTTTGCTAAATGGCATAGGATCTCATGAACAAGTGCGATAGCAGTCCTGTTCTCGTAAAAGCTCGTCATTTATGTGCCAGGCCTACCACCATTCCCTAAAAATTGTTTAACTTCCTCACCGCAATTTTTTTAAGATATCTGGGCTTGGAGGATGGTATTGTATCCTTAAAAGGACAGGACCTATTATCCTATAGTATAGTGTGTAAACTGATTTAAGAAAGTAGTATAATTCCTTTAAAAAAGGTACATTTACAACCAAAAGATTGCTATTACTCTTTAAATGTAAGGATGATACTACTATTTAAAAATATTAGGGGTGGGTTGCTACTGAGCCGTTCACATGTTTTTATTCTTTATTTTTTCTTTCTTGTAACAAGTATTTATTGAGCAACTGTTATTGCACAACAAAGCACAGGGACCTGTGGGTATAAACATAAGTAAGAAACTGCATTTCATACATGGGTTTCCTTTATAAACTGTTTGGGGAGCATTTTTTAAAAAATCAGTCTATCCACCAAATACAGTTTTAATCCTATCTCCAACGAAGATAACCAACATTTATTAGCATAAAATTAATGGCCATGGCTCTTATTCCTACTTACTTTAGTATGGTCAATAGGAGAAAGAATATCTCTTAGGTCTGGGCTCCCTCTACTTTAATAACAGAAAAAATATGGCTCAGTAAATGTTTTAAAATATACTAAGGGGTATCCCAGGCAAGTCATAGATACGACCTTCATCGTTCATGAGTCAGAAAGCAGCCCACACTGCCCTCTTGTCATGGCAATACCATTATATTAAGGGTAATTTTCATATAGCCTCTGAATATAACTGATGTGAAAAGTGAGTAAAATAAATTAGTCCTTGAAATTCTATGTTTCCTAGTTTTAAAACTGAGCTACAAATGTTCTTATTTCACCAGCTTAACACAAAAATATCCTTTGAGTAAAACAAAAGCTAGTATAGCTATTCGTTCAATCTTTTCAACTCTGCTTTATACCAAACCAATGTAGTGTGTAAATATAGAACTTAATTAAAATACTATATATAAAATATTAACAGCTATAGTTATTAAAATTACATTAAACTCCCTTGAGCTTGGCCAACAGAATATGAGCTTTTTTCTTTTTCAATTTAGTAAAAAGCTGAACTTGGTTTCGTGAGTAAGCTTTGATTTTTATATTGTTTGTTACAGTTCACTAATCTGAAATTGTAATCACATAAAAGTACTTTGCCATGAAAACAACATCAAGCATAGTGACTTAATTTTTCCATTGGATTCCAACAAAAAGTCTCATGTTTATTTGTTTTCTTTCTTAACACTCTTTAAAGGCATCTCTCTCTCCTTCCCATCTAGCATTGAACTTTGTAAATTATAGTAGATATTCTTTGCTTTGACCGTTTTCAGTGAGGGTATAAACAGGACAGTTAATAAATTATTGGTAATCTGAATGAATTAAAGAATTTTAAACAGAAGAAGTAGATTTTATTCTGCTTGTGGATTAAGGTATTTATCTGATCCTGATTGTAATAGGTCATCCAAAGAACTTGGGGAAACTAATTAGATTACATCAACACTTCCAAGACTGGAAAGAGTCAGATGGTTACTAGACTTATCATGGTGATCACTTCATAAGGTATATAAATTTAAGTCACTATGTTGTATACCTAAAACTATTATAATATTGTATATCAACTGTAACTCAAAATACATTTTAAAAAAGACAGGAAAGAAATATCCAGATATTTATCCATAAATAATCATTACCAAATACATAATGGGTGGTTTTATTTTCCTTTTTATATTCTTTTGCATTTCCTAAAATTTTGACATTGACTCATATAATTAGAAAATTATATTTCTAGTTATATTTCTTCATATAATTAGAAAATACCTCATTCCTAGGTGAATGAAATACAACCGATCCGAAGTGTGGTATTCTTTATTTCTCTGAACTTCCAAAAGATGTCCACTTAATCTGATCAGTTATACTTTAGATTGTAATAAAGTCTGACTAAAAACATACATATTCTCAGAAATCCCAATTTCAAATTTTTATTCTAGAAGCACTTTAAGTCAAACGATAATATCCACAAGTCAGTATTCCAAAACACAAGGTTAGCCCCTGAGCCCATCCTCTTTTACACCTTCCGTGCCAAAGTTCCTAAGCAGCAAACTAACTGCTAACTCTGGTAGAAACAGGCTGGGGGGAGCCAAAGGGAGGCACTCTATTGCTCTACTTCTGTTTTCCCACCAATGTACTCTTCTCAGCTTAAATCAGAAAAACAAAGAGGAATCCAATTACTAATGGAACCAGTATAGTAGAACAGTCAAAAAAAATATTTTGCTGTCTACTATCATCTAAGACACTCGAGAAAAAACGATACCATAGCAAAAACTGCCCAGGATCGTAACTAACCGTGCTTGTGGACTTCCTTACCAAAATGAAAGAGTGACAACATACAGAGAGCAAGTCTCCAGAGAGTGAGGAATCAGAAACGGAGTCTCCGAGATACCTGGGGATCAGAGCAATGAGTTCTGACCTTCCTTCAATTCTCCTCCCTCACCCTCAGCTCCCTCCTAATTTTCATACATTCTATTTCTTTATTTTATTGGGCAAAAAATATATTTCTAGGAAGGTAACACAATCTTCTTGATTGATAAACAGGAAAACGAGGCATAAATAATAGTGAGATCAGAAACTGTTCCATTGCAGAGAAGTAAACAAGTGACAAGCAAGTCTGTGGAAAGGGTATGAGAAAAAGAGTTCCCTCCCAGGAAGGAAAGCTACTGGAAAGGTATTCGTTTTGCCAGTGTCCCTGAAACTCAACTATATTAATAAAAGTGTCTTTGATAGCCTAGCCCCAACTTGGATAAAAAGTGTGCTGTATTAAACTAAGAATTTTATGTGTAGATAATTAATTTTTTCCCCATATTTTATATTTGCCTTTTCAAGCACCTCCAAACACCCAATAATATAAGAGATCATTGGTAATGCCAGAACACTACATTTTGTCATTTGTAAATTCAAAATAAAATTTCTTGCAACACTTGGCATGTGATTATCCAATAAATATGCACTTAAGAAGCCATTTGAGCATTTGGGGTTTGATGCCCAAATGATGATTAATTAGCTCCTTCTGATTCTTAGAGGATGTTAAACAGGAATAGTAACAGATAATTTCCTTTACCCTAAAGACAGAAATGCAGAAAATGTTTACCACGTCTCAGTTTTAATTCCTTAGGAACAGAGAGGGGCGCGTGGGGCGTTGCAGCAGATATGCAGCATGTGAAACAGATAGGTTACCTGACCGGCCGTCTCTCTGGAAGTCCACGTGGTACCATTCTCCGTCATTCACCTTCTTCTGCAGGGCTTTGATTTTTATTGTACCTGACCCCATGTCTAGAAGGAGGTAGAGGTGGCCGTCCAGCATCTCGATGGCAAAGAAGTCAACCTTGATCATCTGTGGGTGCTTGGCATCTTTCTGGTGTCGCGGCTTGCCGTGGCTAAATAAGATGAGGCCATTCGGCTCTGTTGTGCGGAAATCAAAGGATATGGAGCCTGTTTTCTTTGCATTCCATTTAGGCAAAGAGATGAAAGACTCTGGGGTTTCAAAGGTGATTGGGTCCAAAGTTGCAACATTCTCACATTTAAACGCCACTACTCCATGGATCTTCATCTTAGGGTCTCCTTGCTTGGCAAGTCGAGATAATTCCAGCCTTACATCATTATTTTTATATACAACCTGTAGGCAGAGGATAGCAGTGAGAAACCAGGCTCACATTTTAATATTTAGAATGTGTCTTCATCAGCTCACACAACTGGCAAGTAGATCATGGAAAGGCACACAACGTCTAGTTTCTTTTGATGTATGACAGCTTTTTCAGCCAAATAAAATTCAAGTACCAATTCAATGAACAGTAACCATTCCAATCTAATGTCATTTAAATAATGTGCACACACACGTGTGCACACAGACACACATACACACAAGCTGTCTAGAGTTAACACAAATAATTTGAATAAATTGGCAGAGAGCTTATATTTCAAGTAGGTGTAGACTTGACCTTATAAAAGCCATTTGCTTTCATTAGTTGGCTATTATACTTTGTTTATTAAATATAAGTATTGAGGTTCTTCAGATTTCTCATGACTTAAAGTATTTGAAATTAGATACTCTTGTATAACAGTCTCTTAAAATATAGGATCTCTTCTATGGTCTAGATACCCATGGTAATATAGAGGGTAGGAAAAAAGTGGGTTTACAATTGTAAGTGAAACACAGAGTTTATTCTTATATTCTTATTTATTAATAATTGAATTATTTTCCATATGAACAACTGTAAACCTATGTTTTTCCTACCCTTTATATATTATTTATAGGCTAATCACACTTTGAGGAAGAAAACATCCTAAATTTTCTCATACAAATCATAAAATACAACTAAGATGCAGACGCTATATCTTGCCCTGCCCTACATTAATAACTGTTTGAATAATGTTACGTAACTCTGGAACACGGTGTTTACTCTGAATCCATTCAACCTGTACTACTGGCATTCATTTCACTTTGAATGTAACAGATGTGGAGCAAAGTTTGTCCTGTACTCTCATTTCCCAAGGCACTTCATCTAAAGTGGCGGGTGGTTCCGATTGCTGGCCCGAGGGCTTATGGGGACTCCAAATAGCACCCTGGACAAATCCACTGGCAGGTCTCCCAATATCATGCATCTGTCATCATGCCACCTTAATAAATGTGTCACTATTTTGACATAAGAATAAAGAGAGATTCATATCCTTCCTCTACAAAATGCATATCATGGGTATCACATTTCCAAAAAATGTAGGTCGTACAGACACGAGGATATATTAGCTATCTATGTTTAGATAACTAAATTCTTTGAAGAGAGCACTCAAAATTTCACAGCAGCCAACACTGTCAGGTTCTAAACTCATTTATCCATGTATAAAAATACATTTATGTAACAGAAAAAGTAAGAAAACCTAAGTCTGATTAGTGCTATAATATTAACCAGGTCAACACAGCAGCTAATTCCTCCAAACCCAAGGCCATTTGAGATGAGTTAGTGTGGCTGATGAGCTTCCTGATATGATTGGTTAATGGATCCTTTATTTTTCAGAGTGATTAAGAGTGTGTGCTCTGGTATTCGACTCCCTACATTCAAATTCCAGCTCCAGCATTACCCAACTGAAGGATCTCTAAGCCTTCCTTTTCTCCCTTGCAGGGAAATAATACCTTATAGGATGGTTATAATGGTTAAAGAAGAAAATGCATGTAAGTGAGAAAATCCACATAAAGGCAATCAATCCAATGCCAGGTACACGGTAGGATTATCAACTCCCTCCAACTGCATAGCAACACACATCACCATCTCTCTACTAAGCAGACACAGAGACATTAGTTCTAAATGAATCCATTACCAGGAAACATTTAGAAATTAAGGACACGCATATAATTGGTATTTTATACTTGATTTGTGCCAACTAAATAAGTCACATATTTCCAATGCTAGTCCTAGTGTTTCCATTTACCTTTATCTTGAGGAAGGATTATAATAGAGAATATCATATCCCTTATTCTTGAACAAACACATATAATGGTTTAACAAGCATCTACTGACAACAAAAGAAGAGAAAATGAACTTAAGCAATAACAAAAAGGAATTAGATTAAATCTTAAGCATACTTCCTTTAAAAAAGAAAGAGCTATTATTAAGCCTTGGGAAAGTTGATTTAGAATTGCCTTTCTTTCGGATCTTTAGAAGCGGAGAAAATGCTTTCCACGGATGATTTCCAACTTTTATAACCTCTCACTATAATGTTCAAGCTACCCCAAATTATTTTGCAGTTTCATTTGTGATATATATATTTTTTTCTTTATCTTTTATTTTATTTTTTAATTTATCTTTATTGTTGAAAGTATTACAGATGTCCCCTTTTCCCCATTGAGCCCTCCCACCTGCCCACCCCTGATTTATATTTGAATATTTGGGAGTTCTTTTGACATAGATATTGGTCAGGAATGAGCACTTCCTGACCCAAGTGATGAGGGCGGGAATGCTGATCGATGACAACACATTTTCTGTGCAGTAACCCACAGCACTGGCATCGGGTGTTTCTGGTGTGAGCAAGTGGGAATAGGGCGGGGATATTGTCGCAGGAGTCCCCCACCGGTCACCTGAGAGCGGAAGGAAGCGGGGCTGGGGAAAATCTAGGCGGGGCTTTCGGGGAGAGATCTGCAATGCCGTGAGCGAACCGGGCGGCCCAGTGGTCGGGAGGTTCAGGGACACCGAGAAGAAAAACAGGGATTCCCTGGATCACATTACTTAGTGTTAGCCAGGCACCGTCCCTCCGCCCTACCCCTCAAAAAAGAGCCCTGATCCTGTCCCGGTTCTCCGCTTTGTGGAGGCAGGGGCCCTGCACACTACAGCCAGCACCAAGATCAGTGCCCCGGCACAGAGCAGGCACCCAAAAGGTATTTGGTGAAAGTCGAATGAAATTCTTCCCTTATTTTTTAAAAATCTTGTTCCCAGATTACAGACTACTATTCATAACAACAGTTACACATATCATTAAAATACAAGATGCGGTGCTATGACCAGTGTTGTGGCCTAGCCGGCACTTTCAGTCTGTCTCCAGGGAAATGGAGACCCTCGGTGCACATTCAGTTATAAGTGGAAAGCTGGCTTATGCATTAGAAACTGCGCCTTCAGACTCATTCTGTGGGATGCAAAAGGGCTTTTAGAGTGAAAGGCACCTGAGTGAAAATTCTCCAGAGGTTGAATCATTTTGCTAGAACTATCTTGAGGAGAAGTACAACGTATTTTCCCCGCCTTCCCATTTTATATTCTTTGAAAGGCAACTCTAGAAGACGGAAGAGCTGTTTGGGATGCAGGCAGACAGCTCTCAGCTCTACACGATTACTTCATGCGACCCAGATTTCATAATCGCCCTACTTTTCTAAAGTTAGACGTATATAAAAATCACCTGAACATATTTCAATTATAGTAACAAGGAGTAGCCAGGAAGCACTCCAAACCTTCTAAAAATTCTCCTGTAAGCTCTTTTTGGTTTCTTCCTGTTATAATGTTTTTCAGTCATTTACGATTAGTCACATATCTTTTTTCTTATTTATATCAAAAGTTGCAATTTATTTAATAGCTTCAACTTTCAACAAATCTCTAGACTATACTCCAGCATCTGAACGATTAGTGATAATATTGCTGTACACTAATTTGGATCTGTTAGGGAATCCAGATAATTTTTGGAGTGATTCAAAACGTTAAATTTCACTTCCCTGCTTCATGAGCTTATATTATATGTCCCAAAGCGACAAAGTATAAAAGAGGCTTTCGGTTTTCCTGTCATTTATTTGCTATGTGCTGTTTTAGGGGGACAGGGGTTGCTTTGGTTTAGCTGCCATGTAATTTCCACACCCTGCTATGGTGACCTTTTCCCTTTCCTCCAACATCTGTTAGAATTTTGAAAATGTCCCTCACACTTAAATGTGGAAGAATCGGAGGAATACGTTTGTCTCTTAGGCTTGAAATGCGAAAGAGACAGTCACTGAGTATTTTATTTGAACTTGATAATAACCCTTAAAAGTTAGGGGATATAAACAGTTTAAAGGGCAGAAGTTTGGTTTTTCCTGTATATAGACTTAGTTTAATCACAAAGCAGTTACCTAAGTCAAGTTGCCTAACCTCACTATGGCTCAGTTTCTTCATTTCTAAAACTGGCATCTAAAATGAAAAGGCATGTCACACCCCTTAATCCTTGAGCTTTCCCCCATCCATCTACGTGACATGGGCACAGGTAAAACACGCCCTCTGGTTCTGTTTTTCTGGCACTTTTTCCAGTTGAGGTTTTGATGTCAGGATATTGTTTGTCTCTATTCTGAGATACATCACAACACTAATCCGTTAGTGAAGAGAATGTTCACTACACCTTTAGCTACACAGCCTCAAGGGTTATGTCTGTCTAAAGTTTGTGCAGATGGCATTGAAGAACTGGGAGCTGACAGATCAGGCTCTTCCCACAGGAGGCCAAAGCCTGTGAAATAAGTAGATCAGTAGGAAAACACTTGCCACTCAGATAGCTTTTTGTTGTTGTTATAAATATGTTTCCATTTAGAAATTTTAAGGAGGGCCTCGACTTAATTTAACTCAGTAACATGCATCGGTCAAGGCTTTTCATCTCGTCACTATGAGAGTATGCAGAGTGGTGAAATGAGCCCTGTTATAAGGTCAGAGATCTATGTAGAGACCTAGACTCCGTTATGGTCCTCCTTGAGAGACGACGAACGACTCGTGGATCTGAGTCTTGGTTTTCCCTTCCCTTCTTAGAAACAATAACAAGCGAGATCTGGTTCTCAAGTCAGATCTCAGAGAGAATTCCAGCTCACCCGCTTGCAACCCTGTAACCTTGTGCAAGTCCTTCAACCTTGCCAGAGGCTCAGTTTTATCTGTAAGGAGGTATAATAATACCCACCACATTATGGTTATTGTAAACTATAAATTATATTTCAATGAAAGTGCTCAGGATAGGGCCTGGCACAGAGTTAGTGCTCAAGCAAATAGCAGCCACTTGTATTCATGTTTTGGTATTTTTATGAATAACATGTTATTATTCTTACAGTGAATTAACGTAGTTGCACCATATAAATGTTGTAACAAGGGTAACAGCTAACATGGCACTTGGTAGATGATTGGTCAATGTTTTAAT